AGTCTTATTGTGCTCAGGGGCAGAGATTGTACACATTTCTCTGTAAATAAAAAAAATAAAAAAATGTCATAATTATTGTAAATCATTCACTCATGTATAGTTAATTCATATATCGTTCTCATATAACGTGTTACCTATGTTTAATTTGTTTTTACCATCGTAAAGTAAGACCAAAATCTGATTTGTTAGGTTAAGTTTAATATTAATTATACATTATTTTTTATAGTTACCTATCTTAAAAATATTATAGCCTAAGGGTAGGCACCCAGGTATAATACTTTCGTCGGTACAATATATATTATTATGTATAATAAAACATAAGTAGTATGATTTGGTAGGTTCTATATCACCGTAAATCCCGTATATACCGCATATCCCATTACACCGCCTATAGTTCTATGCTATCATGAACGTGTCCGGCCTTGACCCTCCCCTCCTATCCATGCCTAGTCCATGTCAGGTCTTTTAATTATCCTTTAATGACTGTTAAAGCGCTAACAGTCTCTGCTAAGTTCGCCCCTGTTGATCGGTGAAAAAAAAAAGTTTCTGCTATGATAATTATTAAAATAAGACAATATATACCCAAGTGAAAAATTTATTTAATTATTAAACATATATTATTATACATCGAAATATTGTATACTGGTGGTTAGGTATGTTTGATATACGTATATAATATATAATATAATATACGTATGCGTGATTTATAAGAGTTAAATTTAGCGGAAGGTCGTTATTTTTATCAGTTCTATATATCGTAGTACAATACGACAWGATAAACACCCTGTATAATATTTTAAGTTTGCTAGATAGGTGATCAGATTTTCAATCGTATAGAATACAGTTATTATTCAGTGAACAAATTATTATTTTCTGTCAATTTTAACGATTGGTAAAACAAAATAATTATTATCTGACTTTATTCATTGACACTCGAAATTTGATCTTAATTTTTGTTATAGTACTATTACCAGTTGAACAAAAGTTTTATTTTTTGTAATGTCGTGTGCCACATTTGAGACTTTGAGACTATGTGTCGTTGGGCATCACACTATCACAGCATATAATATTAAAATTATTAGCATTGCTACTGCAGCAATCACGTCAATGATATCGTTAGATTTTATTGTCCGGATGTATAAATTCCAACACATTTCTGACTAACMTCTTTAAGACTCCAAAGTAATCCATAATGTAAATTTAAAATCAAGAATAAAAATTCTATGATAGTTTATTAAATAAAATAAAATAAAAATAATACGTACATTTATTTCGCTTATGAAACTAAATTATTTTTTATTTTAGTGTATTATGTTTATATATGYGTCTATTATWCTAGTTATATCGGTTATTTAGATTAAATTCGTGTCAGTTTGTGCATACTTTTATTCTTGGGTTCTCAACCTTTTGAGGTCCACGCTCCCTTTCAAACTATTTTATGAGTTCAAGCCTCCCCCCTCACTACTATAAGATTGATGTATGCATAATATTTATATGTAAACTATACTTTAATGTTGGTTATTGAATTAATATAAATACAACTTCAATAACGTTTTTTTAATATTAAATGAATTTATTTGCACAAAAAAAAATATTATTATAATTTAAAATTATTATTAACTATTATTAAATATACAATTAATGAAATCGTAATAATCGCTCAGTATATATCTATTGATCGACCCCGGCGGCGATCAACACACCGGCAATGCACGGCGCGCGCGCGGCATAGAAAACAACAACGTTTTCATTTTTCGTGTTTTATTTTCAACATTTTCCCCTGAAACTTTGTCGTGCCCTCCAGGTTGAGAACCCATGCAAATGAAAACCCAAAAAGTTTTATTCATTTATCATACGCCATTATACATTAATATGATAACACGGCGTCTTGTGGTCACAGTGTCACATATGCATATAGACCAGTTGCAGCAAATATATTATACAATACACAATGYTCATTGAAACCAACAACACATAAATGCAGTCCACCAAAGGACTAAGGAGTACTCATGCATGCTTAGAAAGCTGTACAAAAATGTATTTCAACAGACCCCGGTACTCCAGATATAAAAATTAACATAACAAATTCACAATACACAACATATTGTTGGATAATACGTAATATTTTTTTTTTTGTTATTTTTGTCAAGGTGGATTGATAAGGTGTAAAGTGGCTTATTAGCTTATTGGCTTATTAACTTGGCTT